TTAATTATATGACTACTGTTTGTTCAAGATATTTAATTAAAAATTGGTGCCAACAGGATTCCCCCGTTTGGAACTTTAACAAACGCTCCTACGAAGGATTTTTACAGGCTGGAGTTTCTTATTTCAGAAAAATGATTCTTATTCTTTTTATTTTAGGAAACATTTTCTATAATGATAAGAAACGATATTCAATCGATTAAGCTCGAATTGTCATTTTTAAGTAAGACATTTTGTCATCTTTGAGATCATTAATTTACTCTTTCGAGCTAAACTTGTGCTATTTTGGTCTTTTTTGTTGAAAACTTATCCGAGAGCATATATTTTTGTTTATAATAATACCGTCCATGTTTTTGTGTTCCAGGCGTAAAATGTCGAGTAATAGATACACAACTCTCGACCCATTTAACAATGAAAATTATTTTAAAAAATGGACATATTATTCTATTCCAACACTTTGCCAACAAAAATTCTTGAATCGTGTTAACAAATTAATTTTTAATCTGCAACACCATTACTGTACTAAGATCAATTCCCCAAGATTAGAGCAGAAGTAGACGTGCTCTTTTTCTAGGATACTTAATTACTTATTATTACTTAATATTTATTTATTTGCTCTTTTTCTAGCACACTTATTTGCCTTTCACCGTCTTCACCCCCTCCCTCTCATGCTTCCCCTTCATCCTTTCCCTTCCACCATTTCACCTCCGCCGGCATCACGGCACAGGGTGGAGACCTGACCTAGTTTATTCACCGCCATCGTTCAATTCATTTTCATCGTGCCTTCATTCCTGTCGCTTTTCCAAGGCTGTCACGAGCAAAACCTCGACATTTCTTCCTTATTTAATAATGATGAACACATGAACATAATAATGTTTCACATTGATTACTGCGCGGGGCTATTAAATAAAATATACATATTTAAATTGAATCAATTTTTGGCCTCATTTCGGTACCTATGAATTTCTTGCATTTCATATCTCTTTAAATCTAGAAAAATATTATTCTTAAAAATGAACGTTTAATTGTTATTCCAACGTGGAAGTAGTACATTTTCCCATGGTTGAGCCAGAAATAAAGAAACCAATAGGTTAAATTTTAGCAAAGGAATTTTTATGAATAATTCTGCATGAATATTATTTTAAAGTGTTGTGGGACAATTTATCGCATGGACCACCAGAAGCAATTTTAGGACCACCAGAAGCAATTTTATTATGCGATTAGACTTATCTATCTAACAACAAAGTTAAAATTGCTAAAGAATTCTGGAGATTTAGGATCTCAAATTGGTTCCTGAACGCGGAAAATTGTAGAAAGTAGTATTATGTTTCATCGCGTCATCGAGGATTTTTAAGCAAGAATTTTGTAAAAAGTTAAGCATTGTTAATAAGCAGAGAGATTTATTTCTAAATATTCTGGAGATTTAGGATCTCAAATTGGTTCCTGAACGCAGAAAAATGTAGCAAATAGTATTGTGTTTCGTCGCGTCATCAAGGATTTTTTGACCAGGTCAGATCTATTCTGAACAAGTATTAATATACAAGTATTACTATACAAGCATTATTATGCAAGTATTATTATACAAGTATTATATATTACAAGTATTATTATACAATTTAAGCAAGAATTTTGTAAAAGTAAACATCCTTTAATTCTAGCAAGAGTAGTTGTGGCGAGAACAGGAAATTTATATTCAGGAATAATATTCAAGAACATTTATTAATTTAAACTGAAGGATCTAATACGATATTTTTATCATCAATATGAAAAAAGGTTTTATATAGCTAAAGTAAATGTGAAAGGCACTCTCGTCTGCACAATAATTTTTTTCGTTTACTGTAATCGAACTTTATTTTGTCTTGATTATTTTCACGTTCGGCCAATTTTTGTAACTCTGTGTCTAAGTCTTTGTAAAAATCTTGTAGGCTTCACCTGCAGTAACGAAACAAAATTTAGAATAATATACTAATCACTTTAATTAGTTACCCTATAATTATACCCACTTAATTAAATCCAAATTAAATTTTACGATTTCTCCTTTCATTCTAACTAATTTAGATGTTCTCATCGTTGTACTACATTAATTCGAATAAGTGGTATTTCTCTGTCTAGTCACATTACTATGTCATCTACATTCTTTCGACCACCAGAGTAAAATCATGTCATTTCAACATACCAAAGCAAACGTCAACAATATTCTTAGACCGAAATATATGTTATATATTTCTTCAAGTTAAATGATGCAGAAGTTCTAGGTCTTGTAGGTGTGCAGAAGTTCTAGGTCTTGTAGGTGTGCAGTAGTTCTAGATATTGTAGGTGTGCAGTAGTTCTAGGTCTTGTATAGGTGTGCAGAAGTCCTAGGTCTTGTAGGTGTGCAGAAGTTCTAGGTCTTGTAGGTGTGCAGTAGTTCTAGATATTGTAGGTGTGCAGTAGTTCTAGGTCTTGTATAGGTGTGCTGAAGTCCTAGGTCTCGTCTTCACAAGACTGCCCTCAGGTACTGCATTTTTTGCCCTATTTTCTGATCGGCCAGACGCACACTCTCTCCTGACTTACGTAGCCTAGAAACGCCGAGGAGAAACTTATGTTGCCTCTCGTATTCGAGGACACCAAGAAAAGAAAAAAGACTACTTAATTGGCCTCATTGTGGCCGAGGCAAAATTGGGCTCGTCTCTCAGTGTAGGTTGTGAATTAAATTTTTGTTTCAAAAAACTACTTGCAGGGAATCCCATTCGTACGTTGGGGCATTTGAATTAATTTCCCTTTAATTTTTACGTTTTATATTATTTAATTATAACGATTTATTTGAAATTATTTTTCGATGAAAGTAGTCACAGTTGATGAATTCTAATCACTCGTTTCGATCGGATGCTTCATGTACGCTATTATCATACAAATTGAATTGCGATTCAAACTGTTGCAACTTTCCACTTTCGAAGCCGCTCAAGTCTGATCTCGTTTAACTTTAATCGTTACTTTTGCGGGAAACTTACATTTGTTAGTTTCTCGCCGAACCAATTTAGTTAGTACATTACATGGTTCATCAATATTAATTTTGGAATCTCTTACCCTTTATATTTGCATTATAGTGATACACAGGTTGTATGCATTGATCACAAAGGTTCTTTTACTTAGGCTCTACTTAGCCGTGATTACACTCATTGATTTTTATAGAACTTTGATTGCGTTGACCTATCAACATTACAACCGATATTCACACGATGACTGTATAGTTATCTTCTGATAATTGCCTTCTTTTAATTGAGTAAGATTGAGATGCAACATGAAGATCCTGTCACTTCCGTGCTCTCGTGAATGAATTACACAACAGTGAACTACTTTCATGCATCGCATGCATCTTGATCGCCTTGTCGATGTGTTGAAGCATTCGACTTCCTCAGGCGTGTCTGAAGTGTTGCTCTGTTCTAAATAATACCTAATATCCTCTGTTACTCTGTATTCAAATTCTACTTTATTTGTTCTGTTACCCTGTGCTGAATGGAATACTGCTTAATGCCTTACGGTACCCTGCTGTGAATATACTACTACTAAATATCTTGTGTTACTATCTCTGAATAGTACTTGAAATTTTACGTCAGCCGGTGCTGAATACTAGATGATAAATTACGTTACCCTGTTCGAAATACTACTTAATGTCTTAGGTACGTGTACGAAATACTACTTGATATCTTACTTACGTACGTGTACGAAATACTACTTAATGTTCTAAATACTACATTATGTCTTAATTACGCACGAGTTGATGTCTCTCCTGTGAAAAGAGGGTCCTGTCGTGTGACATGTGTTAATGTGAATGGAGTCCCCTGTCTCATGCCACTCAATCTATGTGCTAGGGCGATATTTTTCGTTTAGGCTTCTCTTGTGATAACATGCCTTGCCTTCCATGGAAGGGTTAAGCGGCTTAAAATACCGTGTATAGAAAGGGAAGGCATGGAATGTCTGTCCTGAAGAAAGCCTACTTGAAATGCATGAGATGTGATGCGCGGAAAGTGTTACCTTGCCTAGATTCGTTAAAATCTTTACAGGTTAGAATAACCAAGTAAAATGATACTAAATAGAAGCAAAGCTCTAGATAGTTGATAATTTTGTTGAAAAGCAGTGCTAACGGTATTTATTCCTGAATAAAAATTATTTTTCATTCAATTTCACTTTATTCAAAATAGGAACAAAAAGATATTTTTCGAAATTGTGACCCCGTTCATAAATTCAGCGCAATTATTGTGAAATTGACTACTAAAATTGATCACCATCATCAAACATTGCAATTATAATCATTGAGCATGTAACCAAATCCAGGTTATGGTAACCTATTTTATATACCCAAGTTATGGCGACCTAGTTAATAAACCAAGGTTATATAGACCTAGTTTATAAACCCAGGTTATGGCGGCCTAGTTTATAAACCCAGGTTATAGCGACATATAGTTTATAAACTCAGGTTATAGAGACCTAATTTTTAAACCCAGGCTATGGCGACCTAGTTTAGTCCAAGCATAACTTGCTGACCTGGGCTGAATTTCTCGCTCTGATCTCTGCTCTTTACCTTTCACTTTCACGACCCCGCGTACGTTGCAAGTGCTCGTGAATTTCGGTCGAGATTTCTGGCTTGACCTACGACAATTCCAAGAATAGAATGGCAGTATCGTGTTCATTGGAGTTATTAATGGTTCTATTCGGTTATGGTTGATTAATAGTAATAAAAAGTAACTAAAACTATCAGGGTGATTGCTATAGTTCTATTTTCTGCGAGTGTTAGGATTGGAGTTTGAATCCATGGTTGTTCTGTTTGGATGTTGGGCAAACGGGATCATAACCACTCGTTTCGTACACGTGTGGCTGGATCTGGAGCGGAAAAATAAACTGAAATAATATTTTGATTTTGTTTTTACTTCCAAGGTTCCTGCAAGCAGAGGTGTGCCTTATGCAATTATGTTCGTAGCATGTAGGATACGTTCAATGAATTGTTTATTTTTATTGTCTGACAGAGCCAGAGAAGGACTACATGGCAACCATCCCTGTTGCTGAGAACGTCGCCTGGGCGTGGATGATATTTCTCGCCTACATCATTCCTGAGCTGGGATCTTGGTTCAGATCTACGAGGATGTGCATATTTAAGGTAAGATCTTGCCTACTCGTTTAGTAGGATCTTTGTTCAGATCTACGAGGATGATGATGTATAAATGAAGAACTTCTGCCTAACTACACTATTATCTTCGAGGATGTGCATATTTTAGGTAAGATCTTACCTACTCATTTACCAGGATCTTTGTTCAGATCTGCGAGAATGTGCATATTTCGCGGTAAGATCTTGCCTATTCTTTTTGTGGGATCTTGGTTCAGATCTGCGAGAATGTGCATATTTAACGTAAGATCATCTTACCTACCCATTTAGTAAGATCTTAAGGTTCAGAGACGATGATGTGCATATATTTAAGATAATATCTTGCACTAACCACACGTTTACGTAGTCTTGGTTCAGATAATTTTTAATCAAGCTTCACTCTTCAGATCTTTGCTAGTATAAAGTAAGTGATCTTTGTTCACTTATAAGGTATTCTTTCGAAGCAAGACCGTCAGTCGGTCCCTGTCGGGCTATGTAATGAGCATGGACGCCTTTATTATCTTCGATGTATATAACATCAAAGCGCAGAGCCTTTTATTGTTTCGTCGTAGATATGCGTAACGTAAAATTCATGCGCTCAAAATGTCTATAGAATCAAATTACTGACCCACTGGAACGATTGGACGACGATAAAACTTATTTTAGATATCGATTAATGCGAGGATCACAGGTTGTTAATAAGCATTTATACGCACCTATTATGTATTAACCTTCTGGTACTGTAAGTTGAAAAGTATTTGCCGACCAAAAATTCTTTGCAAATTTTGAAGTCGATGTTTTCACGTATGGATGAAGATTGCTTAATTAAGTTATGCAATGTTTGCTTCAACTCACGGGTGTGGTCAGACACTCAAGCATTACGCCACGCCTCTCTAGAACTGTTCACCATCGAATTATAGTGCGTCTGCTTATCTCGAAAACTCTGCGTAATTTCCCCTGCACTTCATTTTGTATTCATGCTGGTTTCCTTCGAATCGTCAGTTAAAAAATTGCAGAATTTCATCAAGCGAAAAGTTTTCATTATGATATGCAATGCAGAAAACATGATTTAAGTGTCTATTTAAAGTTTTGGTGTTTTTTCCTCTGGTCATATTATAGCTCGACTAACATAAATATTTCTATCCATACTCAAATTATATCACTACCGTATGTAATTTTTTATAAATTAACCAATCCATAAGATTCGACTACAATTAATTTTCATAGCACCTTGCTCACTGTGTTAATTTCTTCAGGGTTACATCGCCAAATTCATGACTCGTTCACGTACGAAGCTGGACGAGCCCAGTCAGTTCTCAGACATGGCGATCGTTGCCGTGTTCGAATGCATGCACACGATCGGCACCGGCCTCATGATATTCGCCGTCCTGCCCGACCTCGACGTCATCAAGGGGGCTATGCTCACCAACTGCGTCGCCTTCATTCCGGGACTTTTCGGTAAGTTTAAATCTTAAAAAATTAGATTAGTACTCACTGCAGTGAGTGACAGAGAGCGCATTTTCTCTTCGACGAAAACTTGAGGTCACGGACGGACGTACGGACAGACAGACAGACGGACATGGCGAGCGCAATAGTGCATTTTTTCATAAATGAGAAAATGCGCTAAATATTAGATCAGTACTCATTGCAGTGAGTGAAAGAGAGCGCATTTTCTCTTCGACGAAACCGTGAAATCACGGACAGACAAACAGACGGACAGACGGACATGACCAGCAAAATAGCGCCTTTTTTCCACGAATGAGAAAATGCGCTAAAAACACTCTTTTATACGATCCCCGTGAAATAGAAATAATAATAATAATAATATTTCGTAGATACATTTTGGTTCATAATCGCCCTTCTTCATCTAATAAAAATATTGATAATAAAAAGAGGTGAAATATAGATGAGATGCTTCGGTGAGCACCGCATTTGATTGTCCGCGAAATTTTAGTTCAAATGGATGCAGTATTTACATTTTTCAGCTCTTTGACATACGATGGATGATGCTGATATTAATCAGTAATAAATGTATTTGTCACCTCGGACATTAAATGATCTTGTGTAGTCTTCTTTGGGTCAATGATTCACGCCCTAAAAATCGTGAATGTCTTCATATTTTCCTGCCAAAGTAGGATTACCAAATTCTTTCTCCTCTCGCAGGTATGTTGTCGCGCGACAAGAAAGAGTCAAAACTTTTTTGGAAAATTCTAGTGGATATTTTGGCTTTGATTTGCCAAGTTTCTAGCTTCTTCGTGTGGCCAATTCTTGAGATGCAGAAAGAAGGGGCAAACTTAACGCACATTTGGACGATCCCTTTTGCCGTATTCCTCACATCGTTTGGCTGGTGGGAAAACTACGTGGACAACAAGTCCAAAATGTGTAAGTTGAAGCTTGTCATCTAGATACCTATTATGGTTATGTCTTTTATGTTATCAGTCAAATTTTAATAAAAAATTTAGTATATCGTACCATATCATTTCCGAGCATCTAGATACCTATTATGGGTATGTCTTTTATTCTATGAGTCAAATTTTGATACAAAATTTAGTATATCGTACCACATCATTTCCTGGCATCTAGATACCTATTATGGATATGTCTTTTATGTTTTCAGTCGAAAATTAATATAAAATTTAGTCTATCGTACCACATCATTTCCTTATATACTGATCAACATAGGTTTGGGTATTACTACCCATATTCTATAGCTACGTCTTGCAAGTCTGAAAAAGTTGGATTAACTAGAGTCAAATTGCATCAAACCATTAGATGATTAACTTTGCTAATGGTCTCCCTTATTTCCGTCTAGCGTTTGTCAAGTATTTGGGTGACGTAAAGAAGAGGCTCTGGAGGACTCGTTACTTTATCTTCATGTTCGTTTCGTTGCTGAAAATTTTGGTTTTCTTCGGCGTGATGATTCTTACGATGGGCATCCGACTCGACAATGACTTTGCCACCTTGTTTGACCTCTCAAGAGCCTTCTCGTAAGTTTGGACATTTTTTGCCAAGACGTCAAACTTTTATAATCTAATGAGAATAATTATATTAGATTATTCTTAGAATCTAATATAAAAATTATAAACTTTTATAATCTAATAAGAATAATCTCAAAATATAACTTAAACCAATAGGAATTTAGCCATGTTGAATATAATCTATAATCGCCATAAAATTAAATAAAATTACGATTGAATCCTACGATTAATCGAATAATTTTCCGTTTGTTTTGCGTTTTTTTCCGTTAAAAATCAGTCCGATGAACTTGAATATTATTTACTTAACTTGAAGTGTTTATGACGCTTAAATTTTATCCATTCTTGCAGGTCTCATACAATCAACGTCACTGAGACTCGCCAACTGTTGCCGGGCAACATCCTTACCGATGTTCCTGTTCAGGACGTTCAAAAACTGGAGGTAAAATACTTTATAATTTTATAATACTTAATAATACTTAGTAAAAATAATAATAATATTTAATACTTAATAATACTTTATAATTTAATAATTTAATACTTAATAAATAATAATTTGATACCTTATATTTTAAATACTTTGATAATAATTTGGGGTAGAACTTATCCGAAAACCGAGAGCTCTGAACTAAATTTAAATATTAATGCCAGCCAGGTTCAAATGCCAGTGAAAGAAACATGCTTTAGATTGTTCAACTCATTGATGACTTCATTTGGCTAGATATAATATAAAAATAAATAATTTAGCAGTTTTATTTTTGATTACGCCATTTTTAACCACCAAGCCCCCTTGCCGATTGCAAACAGAAATTTCATAAAATTATCGGGTTTCAACCCTTCAACTCGTCGTTTCAATCTTAACCACCCCGATTATATTTGGTTTCCTGGGGCCATACTTCCAAAATTCGCGAAGTGAACGTAAGTACTTACGCTCTATTTTCTTGTCTATGATTGGTGGATTTTGCTTGAAAGGCCGTCAATGATTGGCTGATGAACTTACGATCTCTTAACTTTTTTTGAAAGTATAGGCCCTGGGTAAGTAGTTACGCTCTATTTCCTTGTCTGTGATTGGTGGATTTTGCTTGAAAGGCCGTCAATGATTGGCTGATGAACTTACGATCTCTTAACTTTTTTTGAAAGTATAGGCCCTGTTCATGATAGGAGTTATTTACCTGCAGGTGATGGCACAGATTGGGTCCAACAGCTCCACGCCCGTGTATGTCTTCCTCATCCAGGTCCTTGCGTCGTATATCTGCTACATTTTTGGTGAGGCTTGCATGATGTTAACCAAAATAATGTAGCTTTAGTTATTGGGTAATTGTAAAATACTATTTAATTGCTTTCTTCAGTCCCAATGAATGATTAGATGAATATTATTTAAATTTTATGTTGATTATTTGGAGTAATGATCGGAATGTACCAAGATGTTGAAATGAAGTGATCAGTGAAATACTATGAGATTATTGCAAAAGTTTTTCCGTATCCATTGAAGTTATTGTTTTCGAAACTTGAATTAAATGGATAATCTATGTGTCTGTATTCTCCTTCTTCTAAATTCTAAATTCGTCCCAAACTTATTTCCTACGTAAGTGGCTTCAAACTGTTTGTGAATTAACCTTTTCAGCCGTTGTGTAAATTTTTGAGGTAATGTAGTGGTTACGTAAAAATATAATCTAATTTATCCGTATATGTTGATGACGTTTTAAACAGGAAACGCATGCTAATATTACCATGTAAACTTGGATATCATTGTTGAAAAACCATATTTAAATAATTGATTTAGTCTATCCATTCTCCATGAATTCCAGGCAAGTTTGCGTGTTGAAAAACCATATCTAAATAACTATAAATAATTTATCCATTCTCTCTGAATTCCAGGCAAGTTTGCGTGTTTTGATTGGTGGATTTTGCTTGAAAGGCCGTCAATGATTGGCTGATGAACTTACGATCTCTTAACTTTTTTTGAAAGTATAGGCCCTGTTCATGATAGGAGTTATTTACCTGCAGGTGATGGCACAGATTGGGTCCAACAGCTCCACGCCCGTGTATGTCTTCCTCATCCAGGTCCTTGCGTCGTATATCTGCTACATTTTTGGTGAGGCTTGCATGATGTTAACCAAAATAATGTAGCTTTAGTTATTGGGTAATTGTAAAATACTATTTAATTGCTTTCTTCAGTCCCAATGAATGATTAGATGAATATTATTTAAATTTTATGTTGATTATTTGGAGTAATGATCGGAATGTACCAAGATGTTGAAATGAAGTGATCAGTGAAATACTATGAGATTATTGCAAAAGTTTTTCCGTATCCATTGAAGTTATTGTTTTCGAAACTTGAATTAAATGGATAATCTATGTGTCTGTATTCTCCTTCTTCTAAATTCTAAATTCGTCCCAAACTTATTTCCTACGTAAGTGGCTTCAAACTGTTTGTGAATTAACCTTTTCAGCCGTTGTGTAAATTTTTGAGGTAATGTAGTGGTTACGTAAAAATATAATCTAATTTATCCGTATATGTTGATGACGTTTTAAACAGGAAACGCATGCTAATATTACCATGTAAACTTGGATATCATTGTTGAAAAACCATATTTAAATAATTGATTTAGTCTATCCATTCTCCATGAATTCCAGGCAAGTTTGCGTGTTGAAAAATCATATGTAAACATATAATCTAATCTATCCATTATCTCTGAATTCCAGGCAAGTTTGCGTGTTGAAAAACCATATCTAAATAACTATAAATAATTTATCCATTCTCTCTGAATTCCAGGCAAGTTTGCGTGCAAGATTTGCATTCAAGGATTCAGTTTCGCGTTCCCGGTGAACCTGACGATCCCCGTGTCGATCTCTCTGTTGATCACCGCCTGCGGGCTGCGTACCGAAGACGTGTGTGCCTTCGACTTCATGCCGGGCTACCTCTTCTGGGAGTGCAAGAACGGAGACATACTCACTGACTTCCTCAAAAATGATGTCAGTAATGGCACTGCTTTATTAGATTCTTATTTTTTAAGATGTATTTTTGGATTTGTTGAGTTTCAAAATCATTTCGAGTTCCAGCGTCCACACGAAAGCTTTTTTCCGTCCAAAAGATTCTTTCGAGTCTGATTTTATTTCAAATACTTCTCGCTTTGATTTTTCATATATATGTATTTTTTGGATTGGTTGAGTTGCTAAATCGTTATCCGAGTTCGAGCGTTCACATAGAAGATTCATTTTCATCCAGAAAATTACTTCAATTAATGGTGAATTATTTCGGAATTTCAATTAAGACTGCTAGAATTTTTCTAATTTTGTAATAAATTTTCAAGTCTTTTGTTTTCATTTGAGAAATTTATTAATAGCGAACAGTGGACGCCAATCAACTGTGTTTGTAAATTCAAAATTCAGTCACCTATTGCAAATAATATATGGTTAAAAGGAGCACAGAGATTTGGCTGAATGTATCCCTCGTAACTACAATTTAGAGTTGTAATCACGTTCGCATTGTAATTTTTTTTCAGTACGCGTGGATTTGGCTGCTATGGCTGCTGTCGCAAACATGGATAACATTGCACATCTGGACGCCTAAATGCGAGCGTCTGGCGTCCACTGAGAAGCTCTTCGTGTCGCCCATGTACAACTCGATGCTCATCGACCAGAGCTTGGCGCTCAACAGAAGAAGAGACGACGACCCTGACCTCAAGGCTGATGAAATCACAACTTTGTCTGAGGAACACGAGCCTGAGGTCAGGATTGTTATGAGAATTAAAAAACAAAGGTAACGCCACGTAAATTTATCTTGTCTTCAACGTTTTTGAACGGAAACCTTAAAGTTTTTCTTGGGATTGCACTTTCCGCGAAAAACTTCAAGTTCAATCAAAAGACTTCATCAAAAACGTTTTCGATGAAGCTGAGATGTATTTACGTAGCGTTCTCTTTTCTTTGACATTCTTGGTGAAATTTATAGTGTAACAGACTACTGGTATAAATACATAATTGTTATTACATTACACGAATGAAGAATGTTTTTGGCATTAACATCATTTTCGTTATGTTTGTGCTTAGGATAGCACTAGCAAAACTAACATTTCGTTCCTGAACTGTCCATAGCTGGCTTAGGAATAAAAATTTATAAATTTGCCTCACAATTTTTCTAGTGAATTTTTTTCAGAAGTAAACTAAATAATGAACTAGCCTATTTTTGTCAAAGGGTTTCAAATTTAAACATTGCTTTCTTCCAGCACTACGAGACAATATCTCTTGACACGGACTCGTCCAACACAAATGCTACATCGAAGTCTGTGAAAGGTTCAGATCACATCACGAGGATTTACGCCTGCGCTACGATGTGGCATGAGACCAAGGATGAGATGATGGAGTTCCTGAAGAGCATCCTCAGGATGGATGAGGATCAGTCTGCTCGCAGGATCACGCTCAAGTTCTTGAACATTGTCGATAATGATTACTATGAGTTTGAAAGTGAGTTGACTGAAAATGATTTCTTAAATATTATTTACTATTAACGCAATTAGTGCTTCTTATCTCTATTATATCTAAATAGTTCTTAGGTATTTAATCTTTTTAAATAAGTGATATTACTATGTGATGGTTTGAGTTTTAATTCAAAGAAATGTTCTGGCTCATGTTGAACAGTTCGAATACGGATATTATCAAATTATTATTTGACACGTTTTAAATGTTAATATAATCTTGTAGTACAACAAAATGTCATATCCTCAATGTCGGCGAAGCAAAGTACACTTTTTAAGCATATGCTTTAGTTGCACGATCTTGAATCAGCTTACTACAGGTTCATATAATATTTCAAACCATTGGTCTACTCAACAGCTCACATCTTCTTCGACGACGCGTTCGAGATCAGCGACCACAACGACGACGAGAACGTCGTCAACAGCTTCGTCAGGCTGCTCGTTGAGCTCATAGACGAGGCGGCCAAACACGTCCATCAGACCTCCAGACTCAGGATTCGCCCCCCTGCCAGAATCCCGACTCCATATGGGGGGCGACTCGTCTGGACTCTGCCAGGCAAAACTAAAATCGTTGCGCATCTCAAAGACAAGGACAAAATTCGTCACAAGAAGCGCTGGAGTCAGGTAACTACTATATTCGAAATTAACTTTAAATTCTGACTAGAGAATGGAAAATGTTTGACTTCTCAATCAATCTTTGACTCTTCAATCCGAATAATACCTGGAGAAAAGAACTGAATGAGTACACATATTTTTCCACAACATGGACATTGTTTATTACGATACATTATTTCCGATGGAATGAGGTTGGATTATATTTTAATTTTATGACCTTTTTGCGTAAACTAAATCGTTTGAAACCCGCAGGTGATGTACATGTACTACCTGCTTGGCTTCAAGCTCATGGACCAGCCCATCTCCCTCGAACGGAAAGAAATCATCGCGGAGAACACCCTCCTGCTCACTCTTGATGGCGACATCGACTTCACACCCAAAGCCGTCGCGCTGCTTGTCGATCTCATGAAGAAAAACACTAACCTCGGGGCTGCCTGTGGGCGAATCCACCCTGTTGGATCAGGTCGATATTTGATTATTTGTAAAATAATGTACTATCTTGTTCCGCTTCTTCTCCGTTTTTAGGCCTTGGAGTAAAATATTTTTGGTCACCGAGCAACATGCCATCCCATTAGCCTTTATGTTTCAGATATCGCGACACTAGCGGTCATGGTTCTAATTCACAAATTGTTTATTGATTTCCGTTTCTTCAAGTTTCCATTGTCGTTACACTAGTTTACGTTGTAAATTTTTTTAACGTTATCGGTAAACTTGTAAACTTGGTTAATTTAGCGTGGATGCATGATGTTCAATGGCTTTAAATTATGTTCTTTAGAACCATTATTTTTTCTTTAGCGACCACCCTTCTTTACAGTTCAAAATACAACATTGCTATGATTTAATTGAAAAAATTTGACAGGCGACATATATGGCAACATGGCGCAAACTGAAATTTAAGGTGATAGATTTGTCCAATTGAACGAATGAGATTCCTACCTAAACAAAAAAAAAAAACATTTTGAAAGGCGACATATTTGTACAGCCAGGCGCTAAAGGTTCAACTTGTCGTGCAGGTGTGATGTTCGTACACTAATTTTGCAAGAAAAATTTGTCAATTTTCGGTCACGTGATTCATAATAAAATGTTGATAATGGTAATTTGTGGTGCAGGTATGATGGTGTGGTACCAAATGTTCGAGTACGCTATCGGCCATTGGCTGCAGAAGGCTACGGAGCACATGATTGGTTGCGTGCTCTGCAGCCCGGGGTGCTTCTCGCTCTTCAGAGGCCGAGCTCTCATGGACGATAATGTCATGAAACGATACACGACAACGTCGTGCCAGGCTCGGCATTACGTGCAGTACGATCAAGGTACGATGTTTATACTTGTTCGAGTGTCAACTTTTAATATTGTTGAAAAACTTTTTACTTTAAAACTAAGTCTGAACATGCACCTTCTTCTTGGTATGTAAGATCAGTTGCGTATTAAAGAGCAAGAAAGCACATACTCCAGCTAGAGAAAAAAGTCATAACCAAGATGGTGATGGTGCATTTTTTAAATAACGGGATTTTTTGAACGGCGTTCATTACTTCCTAAATATTTTTTCTAATTTTTTTCTGATGTAACTCCAAGAAAATATAACTCAATAAGGCAGGGGGGCTGTTGGCCGTTTCTAAATGCCGCTGGCCAGCTCACGAATTTTTTTTGCCGCTGGTCAGTCACTCATTACTTAATACTTAGACTGTCGCTCACTCACGCAGGGGAAGACCGTTGGTTGTTTCTTAAAGCTGATGATCGGTTTAAAGATATTACTTTTTAGCGCATCCGTCCGTGACTTCATGTTTTCGTCGACGAGAAAATGCACTCTCTGTCACTCACTGCAGTGAGTACTGAGTTATATTTTTCAAAAGTCACTCATTACTTAGACTCCCGCTCACTCACGCAGAGGAAGAACGGTGGTTGTTTATTACAGCCGATGATCGGTTCAAGGATATTACTTTTTTATGTAAATCGCTCATTACTTAGACTGTCGCTCACTCGCGCAGGGGAAGACCGTTGGTTGTGCACGCTGTTACTGCAGCGCGGCTACCGCGTGGAATATTCGGCCGCGTCTGACGCCTACACGCACTGCCCTGAGGGCTTCGGTGAGTTCTACAACCAGAGGCGCCGCTGGGTGCCCTCCACCATGGCCAACATCATGGACTTGCTCCAAGACTACAAGAGGACCATCAAGATCAATGACAACATCTCCCTTCCGTACATCTTTTATCAGGTAAATTATGGTACAAATGTAGTAGGTTTCTATGCACGTTAGTAGTTTCTCATGACAATTTTTTGTTTGTTATGTTTAAACATGCACAAGTGTGTGGAAAGAAATATAGGTATTGGTTTAGAAGGTGTTTAATAGTAGACGAAACAAGGCGCAATTAATATTTTTTATATTTTTTATTATGAATTTCCTTTTTCTGGTGTTCCGATAAGTTGTTCCTACATGTAAATGCGGTTGGCCGAGCTTTAGATAGATCGGCATGCCAGATTTGATCCTCACAGTTACTAACTGTCGAATTTCCGTTGATACGGATTATAATCATTATACTGATGACCTTCGACCCCGTAAATTTTTCTTACATGTTACTGACATCAATTTTCAAATTTGTCCTGGGCTATAATTTTGCTTTTGTTTCGACGTCTGTCTTAAAAGTCGATTTTTCAACAACAACAAATTTGAATATATTATTTTCAACATTATAACACCTGGTTCCCTTCACAGACTATGTTGATGGCGGGCACAATCCTGGGTCCAGGTACGATTTTCCTTATGTTGGTCGGTGCCTTCGTCGCCGCCTTCAACATCGGTAACTGGCCTTCCTTCCAATACAACATCTACCCCATCTTGATCTTCATGGTCGTCTGCTTCCTTGCTAACGCCTCCAATAAGGTAACTGGAAGATGCATGAATTACTGTGAAATTACTTCAACAGCAATGAAGAAATCGAATCGAATTTTTTCTGATTATGCGTTCATTCATATTAAAATTTCCAAGGATTCTTGCGTACTAATGCCAAAGTTACAGAGCACGGTTTTAAATCGACTTATTTTTTAAACAATCTCATATCGTTGAGAGTTAATTTATGGGGTTGTATGGCGATCGAATGATACCTGTAACTATAAGCGAGTTAATTTCAGATTACGTAGGTTCAAATTTTAGCCCCATGTTAGAACTTTTCTTTCGGCAATCCAGAAAAAAAAACAGTTTTTCAATGCAGTGATCTATCGCTATGAGGTAAAATCATAGCCATATTACGAGATCTGCTCTCCATTTTTCAGGGCAACCAAAGAGAGGTGCAGATCATCGTGGCAGAAATCCTGTCGGCGGGCTACGCGCTGACGATGATGGCCGTGATCGTGGGTACGACGCTGCAGCTCGGCCAGGACGGAATTGAATCTCCATCCGCCATTTTCTTGATAGCTCTTTCAGGATCTTTCTTCATCTCTGCTTGCATGCATCCACAAGAGTTCCATTGCATCATCCCTGGTCTGCTGTACCTGCTGTGCATCCCTTCTATGTACCTCCTGCTCATCATCTACTCCCTCATCAACCTCAATGATGTCTCGTGGGGCACGCGTGAGGTCGCCACCAAGAAGACCAAAAAAGTGAGCGAATTTTTTTTGTCAATTTGTGAGCTTTTTTTTTTGAAAAAAAAAACGCACCGAAGGTTTTATTTAAAGATTTTGAGGCTTAAAAACTGTATCAATTATGTATTTCGGTTGGTCTGGATTTGTTCAGTAACGACACAATGGCCAAAAAAATAACTATGTGCAATTATTGTTAATGAAACGGCCAATTGAAGAAAATCTTCGATACTGCGGAGAAGCCCAAATGAAAAACAATGCATAAACCGAGTTCCAGACTTTATAGATGTTGCACCAATTAAAATTTTCGTTCACTTTCATTTGTGACGCTTAATTTAAAATTTTCTAGGAACAACTTGCTGAGAAGAAAGCCTTGGCAGAAGCAGAGCGCGCTAGGAAGCAGAACGGCTTGCTTGGTATGCTCAACAGGGGCGGTCAGAGTGAAGACGAGGGATCCATTGAGTTCAGTTTGGCTGGACTCTTCAAAATATCCTGCTGTATCCACCCTAAGCCTGACGAAACCCGGCATCTTGCTGACTCTATGTCCAAAATCCATCAAAGCCTGCATACAATCGAAGAGTGAGTGGAAACCATTTTGTTATGTTACTTGTGCCCAAATTCGTGTAACGCCAGTAGATTAACTCGACGGTACTTCAAAGACTACGAGTAACTATTTATTACCCAATACAAATTTATCTATAATGTTATACGTTTCCCAGTCCTGAGGTTATATTATACTCAATTCTTGATGGTATATGATGTTATGATTTTATAGGCTAAAAAAATAAAAACTAGCATTCTCAATTCGCGAAGTAAACATCGCCTGAGGAACAGATAAAAAGCGATATAGTATTCATAATGCCAAACTTTTAAGACATCCTAGTATGACTTTAAACTGAATACTTCGTTAAATATCATTTCAGATATAATTAAAGTAGGTGCAGTGTTAGTTTCGGGCATTTTGGCCTGTATTACTTCTGCACTTTTTGGTTTGTAGGTAGGTACATTAATTGTTAGTTTCGGGTATTTTGGCCTGTATTATTTCTGCACTTTTTGGTCTGTAGGTAGGTATAGTGTTAGTTTCGGATATTTTGGTCTGTATTATTTTCATAATTGAATTATTTCTGACCAGGCGCCTGGGCATGACATCGAGTCGCAAGAAGAGCTCGCAGCACTCGAGCGGCCACCGCCACGACGGCACCCACCACGAGGTGGATGACGAGACCGAGTCTCTGGACGATACCAGTGAAGTCTCTGGTGAGATACCTCCGTGCAATGATATTAATCATTATTAGTTAATAAATTTGTGAGGTGTTATTTTTTGAAATATACTTTTTTCCCAGTATTGTATTGATCGTTGTTAATTGATTAACTAGTGAGGTATTCTTTTAGAAGTATATTTATTTTTCGTACTTAGTACAGTGTAATGTTATACTCATATTTTACGATATCTTTGATAGTTCAGAATTTTCCTGTCTGAGAATGAAGTAATCATAAATAATTGATATGTTAGTAAGATATTTTATAATTCTCTGTAAACATATTTTATCATATTTCAAAGCATAGAATTGCGAAATATTATATTTACGAATTTCTTTGTCAATTCCTTGTGGATTTGGAGGCAGAAAAACAAGCTTCAATTTCTTCACAATGCATAAAGAAGCACCGTAAGAAATTTGAAGTTTACTTTAAAAATAATCATCTATATGATTTTTCTGGAGTCCTCTCTTGCTTGGTAGTTCTAAACATGGAAAAGCATTTCCTTCCAATAATGCCTTTCACGTTTATCATTCCGGTTAATAAAGGTTCTCAGAGTCTTTTTGCAATCATTCCTCTTTAGAAAATTGGCTTTAAACCAGATTGTAAGTTTCTGGCAGATTTACAAAAAATTCACCTTTATCATTCCTTCCTAGAAAATGGGCCTTAAACCAGATTTTAAGTCTGACAGATTAACAAAAATTAACCTTTATCATTCCTTCCTAGAAAATGGGCCTTAAACCAGATTTTAAGTCTGACAGATTTACAAAAATTCACCTTTATAAGTTACCAGATTTGCAGGCTATGTTGATGAAATTAAAGTTGGATTTTGTTTTCAGAAGCGCGACAAGAGCGGGATGACCTCGTCAATCCTTACTGGATCGAGGACGAGAAATCCGTGCGTAAGGGCGAGATCAGTTACCTGCCGCCTAAGGAAATTCAGTTCTGGAAAGATCTCATCGCAAAATACCTCTTCCCACTCAACAAGAATGCTGAAGAACAGGTGAGCTTCTTTAATTTATTTTTTCCATGTAATGATCCTGCGTTGAATGTAGATTTATTTTTCTTGACAAAAAATATTTTTTAAGCTTTATGTTTTCATTGGATTTTGCAGGTTATTTTGCATCGAGTCTCAAGGAAAACCAAGAAAGCCGATTTAGTTATTCAGTTATCCAGTTCAGTTCAGTTTATTTCAAGAAAATTCATGCGAATTTGCTGCACATGAAAGATATTTGGGTATAGTCTGCGTGCTGTCATATGATGGAACGCTCGCTTTAATGTTATGAAAATTTTTTTCCTATAATGATTTCTCTACTAGATCATAGTAATTCATTCTTTAGGCTGTGATTGCGAAAGGAAATAGCAGTAATACTTCTGATTTTGAATATAAAAGCGACCTTCAACTTAGTGTTGGGCTCGATATTGTCTGTTTCAATAAACTCGTAAACTCGTGTCGTAAACTTAAATCGAAAGCTAATTAATGAAATGAAAGCTTAAACGGAAAGCAAATTAAATTCGTAATGTCTTTATCTCTTTCGTATAATACGAGTGATAAAAAAACTGACACCTGACATGATATCTATTATTAATTGCCTTACAGAAAAGAATTCAACTTCAACTGAAGGAGCTTCGCAACATCTCCGTCTTTTCCTTCTGTATGATGAACGCTATCTTTGTTATCATTGTTTTCCTTTTGCAATTGAACAAAGACAAGATTCACATCACTTGGCCGCTTGGCATCAAGACCAACATTACCTACGATCCTGATACCAATGAGGTAACGATTACCGTGCACCAAACAACGATTCCGATGTCGTCTTTGTCACGCATGCTCGTTACCGGACTAACATCTTCTCCCTAAGTTAATATGCTTCTGAAACCCCTTTTCTATATTCTGTGACCGTGAGATTTTCATAATTTTTTGATGTGTTGAACAATCTAACGTGTTGAATAAGGTCTAATCCATCTGGATAATCTTATCGACAACTTATTCCGCGAAATTGTGGAATTAGTATGAAATTAGAGTTTCTCTCGTTCGGTTATGAATAAACACGAGCTTTCTAACTGATCGTTCCCGGGCAGCTTACTATCTGGCTTTGGCTTCGTGCATGCAGTTTTAATAAAGTAAAACTGAATTACGTCAAATCCTCATGGCGGTTCTGCTCTCTGTCGCACTTTAATGTCCACGCGGCAACTACCAGTTCGAACTAATTTAAATTTAACTTTTGATTTTCCTTTTTACGTTTACTGTGAATTTTTCCACTGAAGCAGAATCTCTTGCCTGTTGCCTAATATTTTACTTCTCGCTTCAAGATGTGATAATTCCACATATCATCTGTCAGCATGGGGTCCAGGTCGCCTTGCTTCGTTTAACTCTGCATGATTTTATTTCAGTTTACTAATCAAATTTATATCCTTTTTCCAATCATAACAGGGAACGTTAGACATCGCTGGTAATTCAACTGATCTGTTATTACCAACAGAAATATTATCAATACAACCGCGTTACCCAGCAGCATGTCCGTCAAATATATATATCATATAATAACATAAAATTTTTAAACATGTTAGGCTCGAGCAGCCAAAGAGCTCAAGGAACTACGCAACATTTGCGTGTTCTTGTTCTTCATGCTGAACGCGCTGTTCATCCTAGTGGTGTTCTTACTGCAACTCAACAAGGATGAACTGCACATTGTTTGGCCTCTTGGAGTTAGAGAAACTATCATCATCGATCCCGAACACAGCAATGAGGTAACGGACGTTCCTTTGAAACTTCATTTGTAGAATGAGTGTCATAGTTCCACACAATAAAAATTATTGGAAAACGTAGTATCATAGTGCCACACAATTAACAGTATTGGGAAACTTAGTATCTTAGCTCCTCATTTGAAACATTATTGGAAAACTTTGCATCTTAGTTACACGCTAGAACTTTGGCTCCGAAAGTATTCTTTGAAAAAAAAGTTGTTCAGTCAAGCAAAGAATGTTGTACCTAAGTAGTTCTTTTGTGCGCCATAAAACTTTTTTAATTCCCTTGTATGACAACCATTTTTCTGTTTTTTCATAGTAATTTATTGCACAAACTGCACACGTAGCTTATTCCTAATTATCATTGTGTAGAAACCATGGTTTAAGACGTTGCAGTGCACTGCAATGAATAGATTTAAAGAGAGACTCGCACGATATATAGAAATACTGCTTTTCTAGCGCATTTTCTCATTTATGGAAAAAAATCTACAATTGTGCTCGTCATGTCCGTCTGTGATTTCACGTCACGGACGGACGAGAAAATGCGCTCTCTGTCACTCACTGCAGTGAGTACTGAGTAATATTTTATACGCTAGACTTAAGTTCATGCAGAACACTCTGTACAATCGCAAACTTTTACATATATTCTCTAAAACAAACAACCGTATGAACAGCTTGTATGACAACGATGAACTTGTATTTATTGGGCTACTGTGTACTTATAATTGCTGTTTTCTGCCGTTGATTGGAAGCCGTGTGGCTTTGCGATTCAAATATGGTGAACAGTTCCCTATTGTGCCGGTTTTTTAAAGTAATCTTGAATGGTTCTACATATTTTAGGTAATTACAATGAATGGTGAATGGTCCTACAGTGTGCAGGTATGGTCAATGGTTCTGTAACGTGCAGGTATTACAATTAATTAACATGTATGCTGAAAAATGCATTTCACTATTCTCTTATAACTTCTGTTTTCTTCTAGCTGTTGGTTTACATATAAATATATGAAGAACTATTGAATTTTCTTCTATTATTCGTCTATTTTATTGCGTTCTCTCCTAATACATCTTATAATTTGTGCAAGTTACTCATAATAAATTTCATGTTAAATTTGGTAAAAATAATTTTCTAAGTTTTTCTTAATCATTTTCTATAGCAAATGCATTTTGCGGGCGACTGAGGTTTTCACGAGCGCAATTAAAACGCATGAACACAGTTCTGCATGTTAATTTTATCCAGACAAATATTATTTCGAGCAATATTCAAATCTAATTGAAATTTTGGTAATTATTCATTAAAAATTCTTGAAATTGTTGTTCTGATTTGGTCATTTGTATAACCTAGGCTACCGGTAGTCAATGTTGTTGCTGAGTTAGAGTTAATTTCTAGTTTATAAAATAGAATAGAATAGAAGTGTCGGCGCTGAAGAAATAGGCCCATGGCCTGTTGCCGATTCTTGAACTTTTCGTGACTTGATTCACAAGGGATCCGGCCTTTGGAACCCGATCTTTCCATAACTGACGATTGATTGAGATAGCTGCTGGACTTATTGCCTGGTCCGTAATTTGCTAGGCATTTTAAGACTGAACATATGCTCCAGCATAGCTTCGTCTGGACTTATTGCCTGGTCCGTAATTTGCTAGGCATTTTAAGACTGAACATATGCTCCTGCATATCTGCGTCTAGTCTGTTTTTGAAGATGTTCATACTCGCTCCTCAATATAAAGTATTTTCATTTAATAAAATGATCCATCTATTATCTATAAGTTGGTTCACTTCTATTAATGCAAGTTCGAGTTTATGTCAATACAAGTTTTGTAAACATATTTTGGATCTCACGTTAAAAGCTTGGTCCAGTAACCGAAAATTGTTATCAATTGTTTTTTTTAGGATTTTATACGGACATGTAAGATAGCAATGAGAGGGCATCTTCTTTTAGGCCATATTCTCCTGCACGGCCGCTCGTTCAACGAGATTAATTTTCTGCACGTCTTCCCGCAGATTCACATCTCGAAAGAATATCTGCAGTTGGAGCCCATTGGTCTTGTCTTCGTGTTCTTTTTCGCCCTGATTCTGGTGATCCAGTTCGTTGCAATGTTGTTCCATCGTTTCGGTACCATCTCTCACATCCTCGCGTCTACTGAGCTGTCGTGCAGTTCAACTACGGTGAGTGACATGGTCGTCTCACTAGAAAGTTTGTTTTCAATGTATTTTTCCGAACGTCTCCTAATACCGTCGTAACAATGACAAATTGTTTTAATTTATTATTCTTTAGTTCATGGGAGTAAATTTCAATATTATGTTCACAAAATTGAGATAACTGTCATAACTTTGGATGTCTCTTCCTCGCACGGTAGGCCGATAGCACAAAAGAGACTTTGCGGAACAAGAAGACGCTTGACGTGGTACGTAAGCTTCAAAGGCTGCGAGATTTCAACGGAGAAGACTTCAGTGACAACACGTCTGCCGGGAAAGTTGGCAACCGCAGAAACTTTGCCAGAATCGTCGGGCAGAGCGGCCAAAACATCGGAACGCTCGACGTGGCTTTCAGACAGCGATTCTTCAGTATGGTGCCCGAAAACGAGCGCGGAAATGGTGAGTGACGGGGTAATGTTGAGGACATGTTTTTGGTGCCGGTAAGTATGTCGAAATGGAGATGAAGGAATGATTGTTATTAAGTGAGCCATGACGATGAGGGAATGATGCAGGTAACGGTAGAATGAGACATGTAATGGAATGCCTGTGAGGGAATGATACAGGTAATATGCCGTGATTGCGATAAGAGGATGATAAGGTTAGTGATGTAGATGCCTGGATGATGATTAGAGAATGATGTGATGAGGGGATGATCAGGATTCAGACATGATGATGGTGCCGGGATGATAATGAGGTTGCGAAAAGAGAAGCACGGAGTATCGGTGTTACTATAATCATGATGATTGAAGATGATAGTATTATAATTTTGACGAGTTGCAAATGTTCGGATCATGAAACCTATCAAATGAGGACAATTATTTCGAATGGCATTTGGCTCTACAATATATAATTATAGATTTGTAAAGTATAGGTCTCGACTTGGAGTGCCTCCCATCTCACAAACTGCTGAATTTTCAGCAGCTACTCAGCTTCAACATCAACTTTGGATAGATCTGGTCAAACAGTTTATCCTCAGACCTCCAAGAGATAAGTCAAGATCATTATAAGAATTGTCGACAGGCCTACCATGGTGTATTTTTCAACGCCGATATCGCTATGTTATGCTATGTTATATTTCAATAACTGAGTGGATCATTTGAAAACATTTCAACAGAACGGAGGCGAATGGAGACGATACAGCAGCTTTTCGACATCAACCCTCAGTGGGGCGAGAAGAAGAACAAGATGGAGACCATCGTCGCCCCGAGGCCGGTCAGTGAAACTAGAAAAAAAAATCATTGAGGAAATTAGTTTGCCATTCATTAGCAACAGAATTTTTCTGTTAATTTATGTTCTTGTTAACATGAACGAAAAATTATTGGAAATGTGATAAAATGCATCACTCTAAACGATCTCTATTGAAACAGTTACTGATGTTTTATTTAATGTTTTTTTTTGCGTTATAGTATTCGAATTCGTTCCATTCTTTAAAATTTGCGTTGTGGATTTACATTAGGTGGGAAAAGCGACGTTACTTGATCAGTTACCTGTTAGCTTACAATACGCAGGTTTTAGGAGATAAGTCAGATAACTTTCAGGTTCAGGAAGCTGTTGATGTATGGGCATGAATATATTGTCTTCGTTGTCTTATCGTGAGCGGATAACAAAATAAAGTCAACTTCATGCATCGCTGGTTAAAGCAGTTACATTGCATTTCATCCTCCTAATTCAATAAATGTCGTAGTTCTTAGTAGTTTTTTGCGATCTTCTACTTTTTCACTGCATTTTCTTAAATAAAAAAAATTCACATCATTGCGTCATGTAGTTGTTGATATTGCTATTTGAGATTAAAACAATAAAAAAGCGATATTACACTGTTGATATGTTGAAATTAAACTCTGAGCGAATAAATAATATGAAATGTCGATATTAAACTCTGTTGATATATCGATATTACAATCAAATTATTTTTCCTACGTTGCAGCCTGAGCGCCAGAGCATAGCGTCTGAGCTGGACCATCAGCGCGTGTTCACGCCCCTGAACGGCAGCCTAGCAGGCGCGCCAGGCGCAATCGACAGCTCCGTAGAGTACGCGCGGGAAGGCAGCGTAAAATACGGCATCTCTGGCCTAGCAGGGGCTCCCGCCAGTCTCAACACCACGAACATGTCTGGTGGCAAACATGGCTCTATATACGGTAAAACGGGGGCAGGAAGTATCAACGGGGGTTATGTGCCCTCCGACAATGAGATGGTGTACGGGCTTGCACCGGCCGCGGGCCGCGGCAATGGCAGGTACAGCGCAAGATCAGGGCCGAGAGGAGGCGGTAGTCGGCCTTCGTCAAGTCTCAGGTTATGAGCTTAGGTTTATACTCTAGGATTCTCTCTGTGATGTCCATACTCTTTATTTAGGGTTAATAAACTTTTCGTAGCGTGGGAATGAAAGTTGTGAGGGTATTTGTTTTCGTGAAGTACTTTTCCTATGATGGAAACGAGAGTTGTTGAGCAACATATAGTTACGAAACACGATTTTCATCATGGTTTTAGAGTGAAGGAAATCTAGTGTGGTCTTTGGATGATAGTGTCTGTGTGTATAAAATAGATGAAAAAAGCATGACTCTAATTGCAATGTTCTACTGACGTCACCAAAAATCATAGCGTCGCGTGAAGAGAAAAGTTTGAGTTTAACGATTTTTGATAATTTAAATGTGATTTTTTTTGCCTCTCCAAACTATATACTTGTAATATATTTTATCGATCCTCAGCGAAAAAATTGTTGCATTTGGCATACTTTGATAAGAATTTTAATAGCTGTTGAAATTCCCAGATCTTTGGTTTGTGTTTGAATTTATAAATGAGCTTACGTCATAAAATACGGTATCAATAGAATAAATCAGATTGTTTTATGTTACCAGATTATCTTTAATTTGAAGAAATGGCATTCGCAACAAATTTTTTGTAAGAGATTTTTTTACCTCAGATAACAATAGAAAGAAATGGTCAAGACGACTAATATTTAAATTTATTAATGCGCGTAGCTTAATGCAATGCATGAAGCTGTTATATTACGCAGAGAACATAGCTTATTATTACTTAAGTTCTGAACTTTGAAGTCAGTATTCTTTAGCATATTATGTATGCGTTGACGCAAACATGCCGCCCGATTTCCAGCAATGTTTGAAGAGAATCTTCATGTTTAAGAAATACGCCTGAGATATGAAGCCAAACTTCATGTTTGAAGCCTAAACTCGTCTTTTTTATTTTTATGCGTGATCAAATTAAGATGTGGTGAATTTGCCCGAAGGCATAAAAACATAAAACTTTGCGTTGTTTTTGACAAGCGATGGAAACTTTGTGAGTTTTTTCGCACTCATTTTAAATTTAGCAATTGGCTATTATTGCTTATAATTTTGGAATTGCGACCAGTTTTTTTTAATGCTCATCAATTGTTCTGTTGTAAAATGTTTACGGATTTTGAAATTTTTTAAAAATTAATGTTTTTTAAATAATTAAGAATTTTAACGGCTTCCAAGTCTTGTTTCTATGCATTTAATTCAAGTTGACAATTTTAATGTTAGAATCTCGACCAATATGTATATTTGTACGTTAAGCTAGATTTACCGTGTACAGATCATGATGGATAAATAATAATACAGGAATATATGAACAAAATACTTTATTAAGAATTATTGCAAACATTTTATGTACAGATAATTACATGAATGTTTCATGGAGCCACGTTTTTGTGTTCGCTTCCGTAGTTCAGTTTGGGATTACGACCATCATCACTTGATTCATGTTCATATTATAAAACATTAATCAGTTATACAATTCAAACTCAATTAATTTTTTGTTGCATTTTATGTTACAAAATTTAGGTTTCGTAACATTTATATTTTCGATTCAACTTTTATCAGATCTGTATTCATATATCCCAGTCAAACGGCCATGTGTGTGGTTAATGAAAGAAGTCATTCGGGTTTACAGGTTTACCCTTGGAATACTCGGAGGCTTCTTGATAGTATTTTAAAAATGAATTTATCATATAAAATGCATCTAAATTTACCGAATTTTATAGATAAAGGAACTTCAGCTAAATATGTTTTGCTCATCGCAGGTCTGTTTCTGCATTGACCTGCACTGCTATTGTGATGTCATAATTAGTAAATATAACTTTTGCAGAACTGGCGTTTTGTTTTCTTTTTATTGATATTTGAATGTTAATTTATTAGTTGTCTTAACTTTGTTCATAACGCTGCAACTCTACGGGACAATAAACTGAGAGCTACAGCTTAAAATATTCATAGCACCCTAGGTATCATTTCAAAACTCACTTATAAAGATGGCGTTATAATTTATATTTAACAGGTTTGGTTAATGCCCAGAGAATTAGATTTATTGACAATTTTCTTAAAATATTCTTCAATAAATCGAAGATTATTTTTTATACATAATAATATTTTAATAATTATTAGCGCAGTAATTTTGCGGTCGCTGCCATGTAGTTTAGTAATATATAATTGGTGTTCACTTGGTAATGCGTTTGTGCGCTACCATTTTAAATATTTGTATTTTATGGCCAGCTGAGTCCGTACACCTGCCAGCACAGCTGTTAGTACAGCTGATGGTGCTGCTGATAGTGCACCTGCTGTGCAGCTGATAGAGAGTTTCACCTGATATTCTTCAAATTCGGTGACAACACAGTCTGAGACGTTCCAATTTCAAAAGTGAATGTTTTATTGTAGTCTGCATTACCCATTATATTTAGGAGCATCACTCACGTGAAGAATCTCACGGACTCGCTATAACGTGAGTCCGTGTCATCCATCACTCACGGACTATGACACGTGACTCACGTGAGTCACGCCTCACGAACTATGGCATCACTCACGGACTTGAAATGCCTAGCACCATATCGAACCCGGTGGAAGTCTAGTAGCTATTTCAAACTATCTTCAGTCCTAAAAAGATCCGTTAAAATGACACGATTTTAGATTTTCTGTAAGCAAGTCATGAAAAGTACAAGAATCAGCAACTGGCCACATCAGGCCTACTCTTCAGCGCCGACATCATTATGTTATGTTATGTTGAGATGGCGGTGGTCATGATTGAACTAGTATATAGTTCAACCATGGTGGTGGTTGTCAGTTTTTCGAGTATATTGAGTCGTCCCCCATGAAACCTCATTACACGTTCGTCAAGATACTGAAACAAAATGAACCTATATTAGGCTATATAATATACACTGTTCTGCAGTTTGGACATCGAGTATCGGAATTTAATTTTGGTTCGCATTACTTCGGTGAAACTCGACACTGATTCTCTTTGCATACATGTTTAGATAGTTATGAAATAATTAGAAGTAGAGATAATCATTTAATGATCGCATATTGCTTCCTTTAATCGAAAGGTTCATTCTCATTGAAAAGATGAATTCTTTTCCTTTAACTCATTAAAATATGAATATGTGATTTTGGATGATTTAGGATATTTTTTGCGTTTTTTGGTGCGCATTTAGAAGGTTTTTAGTAAAAAAGCTGACTTTTATTCAGACTTAATCCTAATAATTATATCTGCTACGGTTTCGCTAAATTAGATCTATTAAACGATTGTTTGTATGTAACGGACCCACACATCCGAAAACCTCATCATAATTTTTTCTCGTGATGAATAATTCAGATTAAAAGTATTGGTCTATTCACTTTGTTGGAGATGTCAGCATTTTTTTATGATGCATGAGTCATGGTATTATTTCAGCCGTTGCATGAGCGTTTCATGGTTGATGCACAGGTGAATCGTTCAACGGTGATAAAATCCTATGTTCGTTGTACTAATATAGCAGATAGGTGGCAAATAATATAAGCATTATTCATTCAAAGATATATTAAGAAAATTTTCTTTCGTTTTACTTTTAAATCAAATGTTTTTTTGTACCCTTTCGTTTTGTTCCTCTCAATGCAAAACTTTTAAGAGAATGAATAACGCAAAGTCGGACTGATTTCTTCATAGTTAGAGGGCAATAATTTATAGATATAAAATGCAAAAAATTAAGGAGTTTTGATTCATTAAAACGTTTTTGTAACATTTCATTTGGCTTATTAATCAGATTTAATCAGTCAGTCAGTAATGCTGATAGGTAAATTTCAATTGGAAAACAACGACAAAATTAACTAAGCAGTTATTAAGAATATCTCATCATTCTAAGAAGGATTTTTATTGAATTTAACCAGTTTTTATTATGAAGTTACAATTGCACCAACTCTTTGTGAAAACATTTCATTCTATCGTAGTTAGTTTTGTATTCGTAAGCTTTTTAAAATTAATTTGACTTATAATCATTCTCTCTCAAATGAAAACTCGTCCAATGACAAATACAGCATCATCTGTAATCTAACACCAAAAGTAAATAGCCGCTTTGACCTGCTATAAATTATCAAGGTTGCGCTATTAGATCACATGTTGAATAGTCGGCAACTCTACAAAATGCGGGTTATTTGTGAGACTGGATTCTATCAACTCTGTGTCATTTTGTCCATGAATTAGACTCGGATGTAAATTTGTAATTGTCGTGTAATCATAAAGATGGCGTCAAACACAGATGATGAAAGCAGGTTACGCGAGTGCGAAGCCTATGTCCAACGGCATAATGTTCAACAAATGCTTAAAGATGCGATAGTTAGTTTATGCGTCTCCAGACCAGAAAACCCGAAAGCCTTTCTTCGCGACCATTTTGACAAATTGGATCAGGTAATTTTCATTGTTTACGTAGGTACTGACTCGTTTCTAATTTACGAGACATCTTGATGAAAATAGCAAAGAGATAGCTTAATCTGAACTTATTTTACTAATGATAGTTGGCATTATGTGTTTCTGATTTCAAGTTTTCAACTTCACTCCTCAGGCAGATTCTTCAATGAAATTTTGGCCTTGAATTTGTACCAACTACCTAGGTACCTAACTTCCTAAGTACCAACTACCAATTTAATATTATTAGCTAGGTAAGTCAATATTAAATGACACTTATGACTATTAGTGGTATTATTGCAGATTAACTACATCCAAAAAAAAGGGTTTTTTTTTTTTTATTATATGTTTTTTGGGGTGTAGATTACGAATCTGAAATCCATTTTTGGCGGTCGGCATCGGAAAACCGATTTTTTTCCGACTAGCATTATCATACTTAAGAAATTGGTTTAAATCATGGGTAAATGAGGAAACTAAAAATAAACTGATTCTAAAAAAGCTCTGGTTTGCCACTATGCTGCAATAATACCCTATTACTATAGGCTATTAGTATTCATTTATTGTCACTTGGAAAGTTTTCAGTTGCCACAGCAGCACAGTGGCCCATAGTGGCAGAGCAGAGAATTTTTTAGGGTAAACGCGGTATATTCCGTCACATTAAGAACGCATCGAGAAATGAAAAACTATAAAAAAATAACCGTATGCATTAGTCCATAGTGGCAAAGCAGAGAGTTTTTTAGACTCTCCCTCGGCCTCAAGTTCATTTGTGAGTCCTATAAGTAGACCAGTAAGGTATCCTGGATACCAGCAGTATCATACATAAGAATTGATTTAAATCTTGGGTAAATGAGGAAATTGAAAATGAACTGATTCTAAAAGAGCTGTGGTTTGGCAAATTGGCACTATGTGCGTTACTCAAGTTCTGTTTGCTTTAGGCAACTCTCAAAACACCGTACTACGCGTCGGCAACGATGAAACGTCACAAAATGTTGCCATATTTATGTAAAAGCCGTTAGAATGTAAACCTACCAAATCCCTATATTCCGTCACTGTGTGGCAATATTCGGCATGTGGTGAGGTGTATTCCGTCAGCGCTTCAAATTCTACTGATACATAATGCCGTCATCCACGTGTTCGAATTCTGTTCGCTGTGTGAGGCTGTGAGCTGTATTGGAATACAACACGGCTTTGAATTAGAACACTAATGAATATTGAACACTACTTAATTACACTTTTAATTAACAACTATTAAGCTTTTAATTAAGCAAATTTTAATTTTTGTACATAGCTTGGAACGATCTGTGTGTGTCCAATTCAAGTTGTGACGGAATTAGTTTTCATGTGTCTAAATCCATTTCTCAACTTAATCATCTATTAATTTATTTACCACTTGAAATCAGC